CACACTCAGCACAGTAACATCTGGTATGCATGCACCTGTTGATTGAACTGCCTACTGTGGAATACCTTAGCAAAATGCCCAAGCTTTTTGCACTGATTGCACTGAGCTACTTTTGCAGGACATCTTGTGTAACTTGCAAGGTGTTGTGGGGATCCACAGCAAAAGCATGCTTTTGCTGTGCTTTGAATTTGCTGATTCTGTGGTTTTTAATTAGTTTTCCCCTTGTAATCGTTTGTCTGCAGTGATAGTGGACTTCCCTGCAAAGGAGTCACAGCCTGAACTGGGCCTCCTGTATTCATGCTCATTATTTTGGCTTCTGCTATAGCTGACTCAATCTGGGTAGCAATGGTTATTGCTTTTTCCAGTGTAAGTTGTGGTTCTAGAAGCAAGTGTTCTCTTACACGAAGCATGGCTGTTTTCTCAATGAGCTGGTCTCTAATCATCTCATCTGCTATATTCCCAAAGTCACAAGTTACAATCAGACTCCTCAGAGAAGCAATATATTGCATTATAGTCTCCCCTGGTTTCTGCTCACACTAGCGAAATCTGTAGCGATTAGCTACTACATTCACTTTTGGACAAAAAAAGTTCTTTAATGCAGTGAGTGCAGTCTCATATTTCTCATCTGCAAGGGGAAAAGTGTAAAATATACGCTGCCCTTCTGCTCCAAGGCAGTGGATTAGCAGAGCACGCTTTCTTACTTCAGAAATCTCTGTAGCACTGATTGCAAGCAGATAAGTCTCAAACATATGGATCCAGGCAGTAAAAGCAATTGGAGGCTCACCTGGGCTTTGCAGAAAGGGTGCAGGTGGGTTCAGAGACAGAAGATCCATCCTCATGGCCAAAATGTTGCATCATGCAAGCAAGGTAGTAACAAACTTCAACAGGCCTTTATTTAACAAAGGTGAAACCTCTTTACAAAGCAGTTGCTGCCCCCTCTGTAGCTCTCACTCAGCCCTGGCCCATCTCCTCCCCTCAGTCCTTTTTCCTGTGCTTCAAGATTCCCAACAGCCAGTGCTCCCAGTTCTCATAATTACAAGCAGCATCTAAAACACCACATGGGGGAGGGGAAGGAGGGAGCTGATGCTCCGAGTGGGGGAGATGGCTTGTCCTTCCCCTCCCCCATGCTCCTGCCTCTGATAGAGAGGCAGCAACACGGGGGTGGGGAGGCCGGAAGGTTTTGGTACATGTGGGAAGCAGATTTCAGGCCGGCTCCCCGCGTATGTTGGCTCCTGTGGAGCCAACTGTCCCCTGCACTGATGCTTCCCTATCAGAGGGTCAGGGCAGGTGCGAGCAACTGCTTGGGCTCCTGCCTGCCCCACTGCATGTAAATGTGTAACCTCTAAAATTTCCAGCAGTTGCACATTTCCACAAATACCCAATAGTTAACATCCCTAGTGCTTAGGCCACGAGTGGCCCTCCTTCATTGCAGTGGGCCACAAGATTGTTGAAACCAAGATGGTCTCCTGGGATAGGGTACCTTTGCTAACTGCTCTTGCATACCTAGAATTTGCGAGGTATGCCTAGTGAACCATACCAGCACTTTGATTGGATGCAGAAAGAGCGCACAGCTCTCTCAATCAGCATGCACCCCACTTCACATGTACATCACGTTTGTAAAACCAGTAGGAAAAAAACTACACAGACCCAAACCAGCAGAATGTGGTAACCCTTTGCATGGGCAACGGTAAACAATGTCTTGTAGGCCACCAATAGAACCCTGATGCCTGCAAGTTGCCCACTCACTGTTCTAAAGCATGTTATTCTGCTCAACAATACTCTAGAATCTGAAATTCAGGGATACTGGATTAATCAGCTTGGGGCTATTGTGTAGGACAGTGTTTCTCAACCACTGGTACAAGAGAAGGCACCCCCAGATGTACCCCCCAGTACATCAACACAACTGAAATTTGGAGAAAACTGAATTTTTGTTTTAAGTTTTACAGCGCTTTATTATTTTTGTACTTTTTACACCAAAAATGTCATCGCCTGACCAGCTACGATTAAGTTGTTTAAACAAATGTGTTGCAACGGTAGAAAAAAATTGTGTGTGTCTGAAAACTGTAGGTATAGGGGGTACTTGATAAAAAAAGATTGAGAAACACTGGTGTAAGAGAGCGGGAGGGGGGGACTAAGAGGGAGGAGGTAGCAGGCTGGACATACTAGAGCAGACATTTTTCATACTTTTTCTAATTTCTTCACTAAACAACCAAAATACTGGACCTGTTTCACATATTAACATTTTTCTCTTATAGCACAGTGTTGGAACAGTGAGAATGTATTAGCAATATTTCCACTTCTTTTAAAGAAATTATGCCATAAAGATTAACTTACAAAAACAAAACTCAAATCCCTTGAAACACAAACAGTAGTCTTTTTTTCCATGGAGTACTACTTTCCTTTCTGGAATCAATCTTGCTCTCCTCATTGAAACCCTAATTTTGGCTTTGAGCCAAACTCCATTGAAGTCAATGGGGGATGTTATCATTGACACCCATGGCCTTTGGATTAAGTCCTTCAAAATTCCCTTGTTACTTGAAAAATTTCAGTATAGTTCCTACAACAAAATAAAGTAGATTATAATGTCTATACATTGCCTAATAGCAAATGCAGACACGCTGTAGCAAAACACACATCGTGAAAGCTATATTTTGACCATTACTTAAAATAGCTCATGAGCAAATTTCTTGTGAAGTTATATAGATTTTTTTTTCATATCATTTACTTCCAACAGTTAAAATGGGTGTGCCAATCCCAGACTTCCTTCACTCAAAAGGAAAAAAATAACCTGATATTAAAGGGGACTTTCAATTCAAAAGCTTCAATTAAAAAAAGGTTTCTGCTAACACCTATAACACATTTTCCTAGAAAGCCGGTTTCTCTCCTTTGCTACTATTTAGACAATCCTCAACAAACAAGAGAAGAAACTGTGTCTATGGGGGTGCGTGTCACAATGAAACTAACTATGGACAGGATGTGAACCCACAAGTGTAAACACTGTGAAGAAAAGACTTTTTTCCATTATATATTTCTTATTTTGGTATTATTTGTAATAACTAGAGTTAAAAAATGGCACTTCTGTCTTACAGTATACCTTAAAAATACATACAACTTTAATTCCTTATAGAAAAAAACATTAAAGTTGACTGACAAAATTATTGCCATTTTTCAAATATACCAGTCTCACTGTGTCACTACTTCATTCCTTAGATGCTCTTGCCCCAATTAGGTATGCAAAGTGGGCACACGCTTTTGTAAGAGCTGTAGTCACATATAATCAGTCACCATATAGGACTTCTGCATTGACTGCCTGGGCACTGTGATAGGTTTTACTTTTACAAAAGTTAGCATGGTGACAGAATACCATGTAACATTGTCCAGCCCCCTGCTCTTAAGATTTCTGATGATTTACAAAAGTTAGCATGGTGACAGAATACCACGTAAAAATTGTCCAGCCCCCTGCACTTAAGATTTCTGATGGAAATTTCACATCTGGAAGTTAATGAACAAAACATTTGGGGACCAAAGGAGACAAAATGGTGAAACAATCCCAAGGAGGAAAGCTGCTTAAAGAAATATTATTCTATTGGTTTAAACGAGACTTCTATTTAACTTTGGCCATGTTAAGTTCCATGAAAGATTTCACAGAACACTGTTACTTTATGATCAGGCCCTTCTGGAGCAATTCACTCCTCATTAAGGTACTCTTAGCTGTTCATCACAACTGTGTTACCGTCTGCCCTATTTAAACTCTTTGTACATTTAAGTTCCAAACAATTCCTCCTTCAATTCTGCATCATACATTTTCCAATAAGCTTCATCCCTGTGCAGACTGCTTTAACAGCTGTACAATTTTTTCCTGTGCTTGAAAGCAATTGTTTTTTTATATTTATAATGTACTGCAAACTTCCACTGACAACAGATTTCATCTTGACTAGATCTCTTAACACCTATTAGGATGAGTTAGTTTTTACCTACTTGCACAGATCAAGGTTTCAGTTACTAGCAGTTTTGTAGCTCACAAATGTTTTGGCTCACAAGCTGTTTTTCATTTTTAAGCCATATGTTTTGAAGTAGAGGCGAAAGGAAATACTAGTCTCCCTTCTCCTGAAGTTTTTCTTCTCTAACGATCTCTGTGAGGCTGGTAGTTACTGACTTTTTAAAATAATTTTAAATTAACAGTTATGCACTCAATTTCCACTACCCCACTAACAAACAAAATTAATACTAGTAAACATCAAATTGCAGAATTAAAAAAGAAGGCTCTCTGACATATTTCAATATATTCTTTATTAATTTTGGTTAACTTCTAAACAAAACAAAAACCACACACACTCGCTTACAATATTTGGTATAAGAAGACAGCAGCTCTTTTTGAGTCATTAATGTGATTTTCAGATTTACAGTAGAACTTCAGAGTTACAAACAATTTAGGAATGAAGGCTGTGCATTACTCTGGACAAAACATTATGGTTGCTCTGAAAAATGTACAACTGACTATTGATTGAATACATCTTTGAAAGTTTACTATGCAGAAGAAAAATATACTGCTTTCCCCCTTTTTCATAATATTGTATCTGCTTTTAGGTAGGAGGGGGTGTGTGTCTGCTGCTGCTGATTGAATACTTCTGGTTCCAAACGAGGTGTGTGATTGACTGGTCAGTTTGTAACTCTGAGGTTCTACTATAAATACATATCTAAAGAACGGACCTATCAAAGGGCTTATATAATTACATACTTATACATAAAATCACAGTATCCAGGCCTGTATTGAGACACAGACAAATGTCAGTATTTCATCTGTTGCTGAAACCATCAGAGTATTTCATTTTAATGATATAGTACACTCATGCTAATAGAAGGCAGCATGGCATGCAACTTTGACTGCCAAATTGAAACATGATTCTCAGGCCTTAGCAACTCATTTTAAACTAAATCATACAACCTAAGGAACCTGACTAGAAAGAAAGAGAATCTTTCATGCCAAAAAAGTCACTCACTCTCTTTTCCAGTAGTTCTGTCTAGCCAAAGTCAAGTCACAGTCAGCTAAAACTTAAACAAAAAGTTGTAGAAGGTGTGTTATCCAGTGAGGCTGAGAAGCTGAATGTTCTCAAATCTTCAAAAGACTGTAGCAATTAGGGAAAAAATCTCAAAAGAGCTTCTATTTCTCAACAGAAACCACAGATTTGCAAAAGTCAGAGAACATAAGAAAACAAGGAGAAAGGCCCCATGATTAAAGTTTGGAGCTACATATTATATCAATGGGACTCTGAAAAGGAAAAATAGTGATAAAGAGCAATCATAGAATTTTCTATTGAATTTCCAGGCAGAGAAGTTTCCACGTTGCCAAAAACACACACACGGGATGGGGAAAGAAGGAAAATAAAGGGCAGGAAAGAAACAGAATAGATCTCTCCAATTCTTGTTTTACTCTGGTTCTGCTCTCTTCTTTCTTGCGCCTCTTTTGCCTCCTTTAGTTTACCTTCAGCTGCCCTTTTGTCTACAAACTTTGACCTCAAAGCTCACTGTTCTCTTAACAGTCTGTAATTCTGCATTCCCATCTGCTCTTCATTCATTGAATTATAGTCCTTCCTTTTGTCCATTTTGCAAATTCCACTAGATGTTCAGACTGTACTTGATAATGTTGGCATTAAAGTTTCAGTCTCTATTGAGCAAGCTTTTCCTTTAAGTGATTGACAGGAAAAAAAGAGGTGGAAACCACTTAAATAGGACATTTCAGTGTGTGTCTGGTATAAAGAAATCCAGGGACATTGTGTGGAAAAGCTGGATTGGCCCCAAAGTACATGAACACTGGCAGCACTATTATAATGTCCATTAATGAAAGAAACTACTTATTCCCAGGAGTTTTTTAATGGTTTTGATAATTAGGTTATTCCAGAAGAAACAAAAGACTACCTCTACTCAAGTTCAACGGGCAAAATATTTACAAGACAATACACTATATAACATACACAGAGAGTAAAGAGGTGATACACACTAAACACCATGTTCTCTTTGTTGCTACATATATGCACCAATATATTAAGCAGATCAAAAACTGATAACAAAATAGAAAATACACACATCCGTTTTAGAAATCTATGAATTAAGAAACCTATTGGTAGAAATCGATATGTCAAGTTCCCAGCAAACAGGGTGACAGTTCTGCAGGAGGACAGGAGATCCAGGCAGTGAAAGGGTTAACCACTAAGAGCAGGAACTCCTCACCTGTATCAAACACCTCAGCTAGGATGGAAGTAATAAGTCCAGGATATCTTCAGTCTTGGACATCAAAGACCATATGGCATCAAAGAAGAGACACAAAATAAACTTTAAGCCATTAGAACCATATTCCAGAGCAACAAGTACCTAAAATTCCAACTTCCAACTCAAAGCGAAGTCCCTCCCCTTCCTTTGATCTTTTTTGGTTGCTCGGAGCTAAAAGCCAGGCTGCGGTTGGAATTATGGAAGGGGAGTAACGCAGCGGGGAGAGAGAGAGGGAAAAAAAGCAGCTCACCCGTTACCCTTTCCGTTATGTCAACCCCTGACAAAAACTCAAGGGAAAAAAGCCACTGGAGTACCTATAACAAAGCCGAATGTACAACGAAGAGGGCCATCCCCTGCGGAAATACACACGCGCTCAGGTCGATTTCCACCGGTCCTGCGTGGGGCGACTCCCACGCCCAACGTAGCACTGGAGTAAGAAAAGCAGCTCACCCGTTACCCTTTCCGTTATGTCAACCCCTGACAAAAACTCAAGGGAAAAAAGCCACTGGAGTACCTATAACAAAGCCGAATGTACAACGAAGAGGGCCATCCCCTGCGGAAATACACACGCGCTCAGGTCGATTTCCACCGGTCCTGCGTGGGGCGACTCCCACGCCCAACGTAGCACTGGAGTAAGAGACGAGAGGGGCCCCCAAAGGATCCGGAGTCGCTCCGAAGCCACAGACGCGTCCGCCGCTTACAACGGCGGCGCGGAA